GCACCCCTGTCAGTGGTAATCGATAGGACAGAATGTTCTGTTGAAAAACCGTCTTACAGGATCACCAGGTCAAAATAAAAGTCTAAAAAAAAGAAAACTAATGCAGCTATCACATCTATCCATTGGTAAACTGCAGTATAATGTTAGCTTTTTGGTTTAAGGACGCTAACGACCCTTGGCCTAATATATGTTTTGAATGCAGATCTGATGATAGCATACCATCTCTTATTTAATCATCATTTTGTTTCTATGAAGAATTCTGTGGAAGAGCATGACTGCTGCATGACCTTAAAGAAGAACTCTGGGATAGGCAAACAAAAGCAACCTATTAGTACACCTCCTTACATAAAACACTAAACCATTAATACATTTGTGAAATTCCTTACCATTGAAGAGAAAACGCTAACTGAATTTTCAGGAAGGCTTCATTGTAATTCAAAAGATAACAGCATCTACTCTGCCAAGGAGGAGGTGTAACAGCAGGGATTACATCATATGCTCTCTCTCTCTGCAGTAAAAGGAAACTATACTTCCCATCAACCTCTGGGAATTGCATTGAATGTGGCCTAGGCACTAGGCCTGTACATGTTGAATGTGTACTCGCTCACTTCAGCATAAATTGCGCCCCTTCATTCTCAAGCCACACTGCTCAGCAACACGCAGCAGGACAGCTAGGTAACAATCATATAAATTGTAAAGCATGGATATACAAAATGTTTATTAAATTCTATGTAGTCTACTTTAAATATTATTATTTTTAATATTTTATCTCTTGAGAAGAGGAGATTAAGGGGGGATATGATCAACATGTATAAATACATCAGTGGTTCATATAGTGAACTCGGTGTAGAGTTATTCACCCTGAGGTCATCACAGAGGACAAGGGGGCACTCTTTACGTCTGGAGGAAAATAAATTTAATCTCCAAACACGGAAAGTTTTCTTCACAGTGAGAGCTGTGAAAATGTGAAATAGACTCCCTCAAGAGCTGGTTCTGGCCAGCTCAGTGGATTGCTTTAAAAAAGGCCTGGATTCTTTCTTAGATACACAGAATATAACTGAATACTAACATTTATAGGTAAAGTTGATCCAGGGAATATCCAATTTCCTTCCTGATCCTCCGAGAGGCATTTTTTTCCCTGCAATAGCAAATTGGATCATGCTTTGCTGGGTTTTTTTTTGCCTTCCTCTGGTTCAACTGTGGGTATAGGATTATAACTTTTTTTTTTTTTTTTTTTTTTTTTTTTTTTTTTTTTATGGTTGAACTGGATGGACTTTTGTCTTTTTTCAGCCAGACTAACTATGTAACTATGTAATTTAATTCTCCTTCCTCTAGGTTTTCTGTTACTACTGGCTATGGCTGCTATCTTCACATGTGACCTCTCCCCCTCCAGGCACAACAGCAGATAAATGAATTGATCAGAGACTGTAGACATATTAAAGGAGATGACTTGAAACATCTCATGGAGGTCACAGACAAGAACACACTTAATTATAGTGCAGCAACGAAGACATTAAACCTCTGACAATGTTTTCATGGCTGTTCCTGTGCCAGGGTCAGAAATTGAGGGAAGTCTCCCTCCAGTGTAGTGACCACAGAAGCTGGAGGTCTCCCTCCAGTGGAGGGGTTCGCAGAAGCTGGAGGTCTCCCTCCAGTGGAGGGGTTCGCAGAAGCTGGAGGTCTCCCTCCAGTGGAGGGGTTCGCAGAAGCTGGAGGTCTCCCCCCAGTGGAGCGGTTCGCAGAAGCTGGAGGTCTCTCTCCAGTGGAGGGGTTCGCAGAAGCTGGAGGTCTCCCTCCAGTGGAGGGGTTCGCAGAAGCTGGAGGTCTCCCTCCAGTGGAATGGGGCCCCGGGTTTTCTGTGGAGGGGGTCGCAGAAACGCAAAGTGAGGGAAGACTTCCTCCAGTGCAAGGGTCACGGAAACTAGAAGTCGCCCTCCACTAGTATCACATAAAACTGTTTTAGGTAGCAGCATTTTGTGATAACTAAACATTGTTTAGCATAGGTTGGCATGTATGGTGGCATGGCATAAATTGGCAGGGTCATCTTGACTTGTAGTACTACAGGAGCTGGAGAGGTAGCTGTTATACGCTAAATCACTTATGAATTTTAATTTTTCTCAACATTTTACCCCACGGGACCCCCTAAAAAAAATTTCAGGTCTCAGGGTAATCCTTACTAAAACCAATTCATTGGGAGTCTGTGGGGAAAAATGTCCACCTTGCGGTGGTGGTGAGTAGGAACAATTACATAGTTAGTCTGGCTGAATAAAGACAAAAGTCCATCTAGTTCAACCATAAAAAAAACAAAAGTTATAATCTTATTTCCACAGCTGATCCAGAGGAAGGCAAAAAACACCCAGCAGGGCATGATCCAATTTACTACTGCAATGGAAAAATTCCTTCCTGATCCCCCGGGAGGCAATCAGATATTCTCTGGATCAATTTTACCAATAATGTTAGTATCCAGTTATATTATGTGCATCTAGGAAAGAATCCAGGCTTTTTTTTAAAGCAATCTACTGAGCTGGTCAGAACCAATTGTTGAGGGAGTCTATTCCACATTTTCACAGCTCTTACTGTGAAGAAACCTTTCCGTATTTGGAGATTAAATCTCTTTTCCTCTATATGTAAAGTGCCCCCTTTGTCCTTTCTGTGATGACCTCAGGGTGAAGCACTCTACACCGAATTCACTATATGAACCACTGATGTATTTGTACATTTTAATCATAGCACCCCTTAATCTCCTCTTCTCAAGAGAATACATTTATTTTCTTTACTCTTTCCTCATAGCTGAGCTCCTCCATGCCTCTTGGCAGTTTGGTTGCCCTTCTTTCTCCATTTCCCCAACAAACTTTTTGTGAATTGGTACCCAAAACTGAACTGCATTTTCCAGAAGAGATCTTACTAATTGTTTGTACAGGGGTACAATTATATATTTCTCTGGAGTCTATACCTCTTTTAGTACAAGAGAGGATTTTGCTCGCTTTAGAAACTGCATCTTGGCATTGCATGCCATTATTATCTACCAGAACTCCCAGATCCTTCTCCTCCATTGATTTCCCCAGTTGTACCCCCCCCAGTATGTATGATGCATGCATATTTTTAGCTCCCAAGTGCATAACTTAACATTTAAACCGTTTATATAATTTATGAATATATAAAAAAATAAGGGTTCCAACACTGAACCTTGCGGTACACCCACTAAACAAACTCATTTGCCACATAGTTGCCCAATTAAAAAAGTGCATTGAGGTCGGCTTGTAAGTTGGAGACATCCTGTAAGGACATTATTCCACTGCACAGCTTGGTGTCCTCTGGAAAGGCTGAAACTGTATTTTTAATCCCAGACCCTATATTGTTTATAAATATATTAAAAAGTAAGGGTCCCAACACTGAACCTTGGGGTACACCACTGACAACCCTAGACCATTCAGAGTATGAATCATTAAGCACTACTCTGTATTCGGTCTTTTAGCCAGTTTTCTAACCATTTACATACTGATTTTTCCAAGCCTGTAGACTTTACTTTACATGTTAGCCGTGTGTGGGGAACTGTGTCAAACCCAAGGTTTTGCTCACCTCCTCATAAAAAGAAATCAGATTTGTTTGACAACTTCTGTATTTTATGAATCCATGCTGTGTGTTGCTTTAAAATATTTTTTTAAAGCAAGTCATCTATGTGGTCTTTTATTAAATCCTCCAGTATCTTCCCAGCAAGACAAGTTAAACTAACAGGTCTATAATTACTTAGTAAAGATTTTGATCCCTTTTTAAATATAAGCACCACTTATGCCAATCCAGTGGCAATATGCCAGTCATTAAAGACTCCCTAAAAATTTGAACAATGGGTTTGAAGTGACAGAGATCAATTCTTTAAGGACTCGTGGGTGTATGCCATCCAGTCCAGGTGCTTTATTCACCTTTATTCTGTCTAAATATTTCTGGACCATATCAACTGTGAGCCAATGTGGATCATCTGGTGCTGTGTTAATACCATGCCCATTATAGACAAGAGCTCCCCCATGCTCCTTTGTATACACAGAGCTGAAGAAGGTATTTAATAAATTTGCCTTCTCTTTCTGTTATACTCTTATGTAATGTTTAAACTATAGCGTTTTTTTTTTTATAGCGTTTTCATTTTTCTATTCAATAAAATCTCTTTTCTTATTTAAAAATGAGCTCCAGGGGTTTGAGAAGTATTAGGAATTTGTAAATTGTTAAAGAGTTTAATATTGTTAATATTGGTCGACCTTCCAGGAATGAATCCTGTTTGGTCGTATTTCACCAGTGAGGCAATGACCGAGCTTAGTCAGACAGCTAGGAAGGTACATTTTCTCAGTTTAAACATTTGATATGGTTTTTATTTTCTATTTTGAAATAAGACTTTTGTCTTTTTTCAGCCAGACGAACTATGTAACTATGCATTTGAAAGTTAATTGGACCAAATCACATATATTTTTCTATGGACCCAGATTTCTTCTTTAATGTGCTCCCTGATTGCCCACTGCAAACCACAAACAGATTTAGATACTTAGGAATAGATATTTAACTACCGCTATCTAAATACCATGGCAATAACTTATTACCCTACGTATCCTCCTTTTGCTCCAAGACTGCCCAATGAATTAACCACTAGCCTACAGGGCACTTATACCCCCTTCCTGCCCAGGCCAATTTCCAGCTTTCAGCGCTGTCACACTTTGAATGACAATTGCGCAGTCATGCAACACACTGTACCCATATGAAATTTTTATTTTTTTTGAGACCGATAGAGCTTTATTTTGGTGGTATTTAATCACCTCCTGGGATTTTTATTTTTTCTTAAACCAAAAACCACTGAAAATTTTGAAAAAAAATTTTTTTTTCTTAGTTTTTGTTATACAATTTTGTAAATAAGTGATTTTTCTCCTTCACTGATGTGCTCTAATGAGGCTGCAGTGATGGACACTGATAGGTGGCACTGATGAGGCACTGTTAGGTTGCACTGATGGGCATTGACAGGCATCACTGATGGGCACTGATAGGCGGCACTGATTGGCATTGATGGGTGACATTGAAAGGCAGCTCAGATGGGCACTGATATGTGGCACTGATGGGCACTGATATGTAGCACTGATGGGCACTGGCACGTGGCACTGATGAGCACTGACTGCTGCCACTGATGGACACTGACAGGTGGCACTTCTGGGGCCACACTGATCATCAGGGCACACTGATCATCAGTGCCCTGATGATCAGTGTATATGTCCCCTCTGTGGAAAGCCGATTACCGGCTCTCCTCTCCTCTTGAGCTGTCAGCGTGACAGCTCGAGAGGAGAGAAATGCCGATAACCGGCAATTCCATGTTTACATGTGATTGGACACAGCTGATCACATGACCGAGCCGACATCTTCAGCTCTTTCCGTGATCCGCTGTGTCCGAGGGACACAGCGCACCGGCGATCGCCGTGCTGTGTACTCCCTGAGCCGCACATGCACGGTGAGAATGGAAGCATGTCATATGACGTCCTATCAGAATGAGAGAACCACCTTGCGCCCGTCATTGTATTATATGGCGGGCGGAAGGTGGTTAAAACTTCCCCTTACCTTCAACGGAAGGGTGAAACTATTTAAAATGCTAAAATGTTTGTATTTCTTATCTAACTTACAGATTTATGTTCCCAAAAAGGTATTCAAAAAAATTTACTTGATTTTCTCTAAAATTCTTTGTTACCTGAAATTGGCCAGACTCTCGCTGGAGACTTTTCAGCTCCACGCTTCCTGAGGAGCTGCGTTCCCTAATCTGTCTCTGATAGTATGCTGCCTAGCAGGTATACATCCATTGGTGGCAACTGAATAATGCTGCTGTAGTCTCCTCATACAAGATGCTGGCCAACGTTATTTTTAGGCATACCCTTCCTAGCTTTTCTTTACTCTCTGACAAAGCTCACCTACATTCCCCTAATCAACCCATTTTGGTTTAAGCCCCAATTACCTCACTTTTTTTTACACTTCTAGATGGTCTGCTGTGGGCAAGATATGGCCTCACATACTTGCACTAGCTATATTTTCAAGGCACATTCAAGTCCTTTTCAATACTGCAGCAGGAACTGGGGATTCCAGTACACTGGCACTTTAGGTACTTGCAGCTCTGGCATGCTGTGGAGGCTCAGTTTGGGCTTTGAAGAGTACAGCTCTCTATCTCTAAATTAGAAAAGGCTCTCTTTTCTTGACCCTCGACCCACATTTGCCTTTATCCACTTTTTACTTTTTTCTAATGGATAACCAATGCCCCCCCCCCCCCCAACACTTTGCCAAGCTGATATCCCTACAAAAAACTGGCAAAAGTGTTTTAACTCGTACCCCGACACTGTCATCTCTGTCAGAGATAAGTTTATTCAACTATGACATTTACACAGAATATACTACACCCCACAACAAATATGTTGAATGCATAAAAAGAAAACACCCCCTAGTCACAAATGTGTGAAAGATCCCAGGATTTCATTCTCATGTACTGGAATTGCGACAAGGTCAGACCATTCTGGTTGTAAGTTACTGCCTTTATTTCTGCTACCTTCACATTCCCCAATATTTGCAATCAGGACTGGTGCTAGACTATTTTGCACCCTAGACAAGACCAGCTACTTGCACCCCCCCCCCCCCAAAAAAAAAATAAAAGACAAAACATTTTAAAAACAGAAAATATTAAATCAGCAAAGCCTTAAATTGCTAATATTAAAGACAAAATCAGTGTCACGGACGGACTGTATCTGTGGGTGACAGTTGCAGTGAGTGGAGGATGATGGATCCACACTCTAACAGATCTCAGGCAGGGGGGAGATAAAATGCTGTGACAGTATGCAGCTGTACTGAGCACACAGTGACAGATCTGACACAACACAACACACCACCTCCAACACTGACACAGATCAGCAGGCACTAGAAGAGCAGACTGTAGGATTGTGATGATGTCCCCACTCACTGACACATTGCACATGGATGACGGATGTCCAGCTGGCTGCATCACACTCACATGGACACGACACATCAGAGTCAGACATTACCTTCCTCTGCAGGTGCAGCTATGCCTCCGCTGATGAATGGGAATAGAAGGGCTGTAACTCCACAGTGATCAGCAGCCACCAGTCGGCTTGTAGTAAGGGATTGCGTTTGAGAGGAACACTGGCACGACGGCAGCTCAGCTTCTACACTGGCCCCAGACAACCGGCATCTTCCTTTGTCCTTTCTTCCTCCCCTCTGCTGCCCCTCCCCCACAGTTGAAGGATCATTCATGATGTGGCGGCATCCCACACAGGGTGCTGGCCTTTGCTGTACCCAGGCGCACCTGGGTGGCAGTGCATCCTAGGCGACCGACTCATTTTCCTAGTGGAAGCACTGGCCCTGTTTGCAATCCTAAATGGTGCTTATTGGGCATTTTTGAAGACTTGGATATCAGTGGCACGCATAAACACTTCCTTCAGATTCCACTATGCCAGGAAACTCCAGTGACACTCATGTGGATCCAGGTGGATTTTATTATAGTGTAAAAGACCGATTAACCGCTTCCCATCCACCCAATACTGCTACAGGGCAGCACGGATGTGCAAAATCACGTATATACATGTGATTTTGTATTTCCGGGTAGGGGGCGGCTGCAGCTGTCAATCACCTGGTCCCAGCCGGTGATTACTCGCCGGTGCCCGGTGATTGCCGAGGATCTCCGACGGAGGGGGAGAACTGTTTGTAAACAAAACAGTTCTCCTCCCTGTCAGCTCAAGTAAACATCTTTTAATGGCTGTGCACGGCACAACCATGCAAAGCAGTGTGCTTACAGTGAAGCACAGACACAGCCCCATAGTAAAACACACCCAGCACACAGTTAACCCTTTGATTGCCCCAGACGTTAACCCCTTTCTGCCCAGTGCCATTAGTATAGTGTCAGTGCTTTTTTGGTTTTTTGGTTTTTTTCAGCACTGATCACTGTATTGGTGCCACTGGGGATGTCAGTGACAGTCCTCCCCAGTGTGCGAATGCCCGCCGCAGTCCGGCTATATGTCGCTGATTGCCGCCATTACCAGTGAAAATTAAAAGAAATAAAAAAAAAAAATCCCAGTATATATCCCATTTGTAAACACTAACTTTCATGTAAACCAATTAATTTACACGTATTGGAATTTCTTTTAGCAAAGACATGTAACAGAATACATTTTGGCCTAAATGTATGATGAAATTTGATTTATTTTTATTTTTTTTTTACTGGACATATTTAATAGCAAAAAGTAAAAAATATTGTTTTTCTCAAAATTGTCAGTCTTTTTTTATTTTCTTTTATAGCACAAAAAAAATAAAAACACACAGGCTATCAAATACCACCGAAAGAAAGCTCTATTTGTGGGAAAAAAAGGATGTAAATTTAATTTGGGTACAGCATTGCATGACAGCGCAATTGTCAGTTAAAGTAATGCAGTGCAGTAACGCAAAAAATGGTCTGGTCAGGAAGGGGGGTAAATCCTCTTGAGGGCAAGTGGTTAATTAAAACCTGCCTTTATATAAACTAACTTATGGAGCCAGGGATTGCACAGGAAAATTCTATAAGATATGAGGTACATGGCTGGATAGCCAGGATGCCAGCGATTTTCCTTCTTTCACTGATTACTGACTCTTTATCTTGGATCACTGCTACATCTTTTGTCAATGTGTCTCATACGTTTTGAAAAAAAAACATAAAAAAAAAAAAACCACAGGACCCTTAGCTGATATAAAACTAGCACTTCAGTTTATTTTGCTCAGCACACAGGTGAATACAGGTCCAACTTAAAGGATAGGTTATAAAAAAAAAATGCATATCATTTTGCAGGTAAGAAAAAAAAAATAAAAAAAAAATAAAAAAATAAATATATATATATATATATATATATATATATATATATATATATATATAAAAGTATTGCACCCGCATCAGCGGATCGCAGGTACAAAGTCCGACTCCTGCAAACTCTCAGTAAGCTGTCTGCCCATACCTCCTGTCGGCGCCTTCTCAGTTCATTGTGAACTACAAGCCAACGGTTGTGGTAGCCAAGTAGTTGTAGTTCATTTACAGAGCTCTGTGAAGGAATAACACGGCCGCGTGGGCAGAGTCACATACGGTCATGCTGTTTTTACATTATAACAGTGGGTGTGTGAAAGTGATCACCCCCACCCACTGTCACAGTGAGGGGGGAGTGGAGAGAAGGCAGGAGCTGGAACATGTTACATGTTCCACCATAGATACAGGTGGAACCTGTAACCTGTTCCAAAGTTGAACTTAGCCTTTAACTTGGTCATTGCCAAAAATATTGGCACCCCTGCATTTCTGTCAGATAATGCATCACTACCCAGAAAATTGTTGCAATTACAAATGTTTAGATATTCTCATGTTTCTTTTGTTTGCATTGGTATGACAGAAAAAGTGGAGAAGTAAAAAGCCAAATCTGACACATTCAACACAAAACTCCAGAAATGGACTGGACAAAATTAACACCCTCAATTTAATATTTTGAAGCCCACCCCTTGGAAAAAATAACTGAAATTAATTACTTCCTGTAACAATCAATGAGTTTCTTCCACCTCTGTACTTACATTTTAGACCACTCTTCTTTCACCAACTTCTCCAGGCCTCTCAGATTGGAAGGGTTCCTTTTCCCAACTGCTGTTTTGAGATCTATGGTGCTCTATGGGATTGAGATCTGGACTCATTGCTGGCCAGTTCAGTTATCTCCAGCACTTTGTCTGAAACCATTTCTGGTTGCCTTTTGATCAGTGGTGTATTTTGGTTTTGTGCTGCCCTAGGCAAGACTAAAATCGGGCACCCCCCCTATCTAAATTCATCCCACCCCTTCCTGTTTAAGATCCACCCCTTCATCTGTAAACTCCACCCTTCCTCTTTAGGCTCCACCTCTTAGAGCTCCACCTCTTATTTTATTCCTTATCGGTGTCATTTGGAGGAGTAGTGCCCCATCATTGGTGTCAGTGGAAGGAGGAATAGTTCCCCATCATTGGTGTCAGTAAAAGGAGGAATAGTGCTCCATCATTGGTGTCAGTGGCAGGAGGAATAGTTCAATCAGAGTGACTTGCGAGCCACAGGTGTGATAATTACTAGAGGATCGCAAACATGAAACACATAACTACAACTGTGTTGGAAATATCTACAAATATATGTTGCGCTCCTAAATACTTCTCAATAAATAAATTATTACCATTAAATTAATTCAAATTATGATACAAATAACTAATAAAAGTGTATAAATACCAAAAAATATTTAAATAGATAGTTTCAACTAATCAATCTCCTCCAAATAAATATCAAAATAATTCCACATGAAATACTCCTCTAAAA